TAACACAGCAAATCGAACACAGATTTTAAGCTCCCTCCCCTCCCGTAGTTTCATTAAAATGATAGTAAAAGGGAGAAGAGATGTCAGCAAATAAGAGATCAATGGAATGTTAAAGCCAGAAAGCCTGTGTGGTGAACTTAGTGGGCCCGAGGAACTCAAAGTGCCTGCTAGGGAGAGAAACTGAGAAGAAAGAGATGTAATGCAGAACCCTGGAATAGCTCCAGAATTGGAGAAACAAATACTGAAAACAGAAAGATTAATTGAAAGTCTGTGTGAAAAGCAATCAAATGCCTACGTTGATTAAATGCCAACTCTCAGACAGAGGTTTTTAGTCTTAGATATTGAACCAGAAGCACACCAGGTATAAAAGGGATGGAATATGGAGCAAAACTGAAAATAAGAGCTTTAAGACAAAGTGATAAATAGTGAATGGTAGGATCATCACCCCTTTTCACCCACTTTCCAGTATTTCTGTAGGCCGGCACCCCATGCAAGAGATCGGAAGATCCTTCTCTGATAAAATTAGCCCTAGAGAAAAAGTCCTAAAGATACTGACTGCTTCTGGTGGTCCTCAGTAAAGTGGCAGATTCTTGCCTGATCACCATAATGTGAAGTCCACAAGTTGACAAGCCTAGCCCCCACACGCACAGCTTTCAAATAGCTTCTAAAAGTATGAGTAGATAGCCACGTCATGAGACATTTAAAGAAAGCCTCTACCCTAAAAGACAGAGACCAAAACAAATGGAGGAGAAAAGAACTCAGAGGAAACAGTAAAAGCAGGGAGAAGGAGGGAGGGGGAGAAGGAGAGACGGAAATTTAACTATAATATCTTGAGAGAGATTAGAGAAAATATTGTGTTCGTGAAACATGAACAAGATTCTTTAAAAAATAAATAAATAAACCTTCAGAAAACAAGAAAGACCTCTTGGAAGTTAAACAAGAAAGACCTCTTGGAAATTAAAAATATGATAGCCAGGGTCTGGCCCCATGGCTGAGTGTTTAAGTTTGCACACTCTACTTGGCGGCCTGGGGTTCGCTGGTTCGGATCCTGGGCACAGACCTACATACTGCTCATCAGGCCATGCTGTGGCAGCATCCCACATGGAAGAAATAGAATGACCTACAACTAGGATATGCAACTGTGTACTGGGGCTTTGGCGAGAGAGAGAGAGAAAAAAAAAAAAGAGGAAGATTGGCAATAGATGTTACTTCAGGACCAATCTTCCTCACCAAAAAAACCCCCAAAAGATAGCCACTGTAAAAAGCTGCAATAGAGAAATATTGAAAGATAAAGTTGAAGAAGATTCCTGGAAGATACACCAAATGAAAGAGATGGAAAATGGGGGAGAATAGATTTAAAAATTACAGGATCATTCCAAGAGGTCCAGCACCTGACTAATGGAAATTTAGGAAGAGAAAAAATAGGCAATAGAGAAATTACCAAAGAAATGGTATGAAAAGATATTCCCAGAACTAAAATAGTGTCTATAGATTGATACAGTGCAATGAATGAAAGAAAACTAACACTAAGATTTCAGAACTTTGAGGATAAAGAGGATGTCCTAAAAGCTTTTAGAGATTGCGGTCGCATACACGGGGTTAGTATTCACAATGGCACTAGATTTCTCAAAAGTAACAAGCAAGAAAACAATGGAGTGATACCTTCAAAATTCTGACAGAAAAAAATATCCCCAACTAGAATTTTATAGCCAACTAAACTAGCCCCAAGTTTAAGCACAATAAAGACATTTTCAGACATATTGTGCATGTGCCCTGTAATACTGTGATATAATAAGAAATATACATTTAGTCTTTGTCCTTGGTTCCTGGCACAGAGCACCTAAAATTATTGTAATTTCCTGAGTGGTAGGGGTGGTAGAGTATCTTTTGTTACAATATTTCATCTTTGTTCCTAGTTCTGATACAAGAGCTTCTAAAACCCTTGGAATTTTCTGAGTGATAGAGGTGAGAGGAGCAATCAACCATACCTGAGTTTATGCTAATGAGGTAACTCCTTTTGGGCCCCTAGGTGGCTTCGGGATTGGGGCTGATTGCCAGAGGAACCAATCATGTGATTAGAGGCCCCACCCCTTGACCTCTGGAGAGGGGAGAGGGGATAGAGATTGAGCTAATTACCAGTGACCAATGATTTAGTCAGTCATGCCTACATAATGGAACTTTCATAAAAACCTTAAACAGCAGAGTTTGGAGAGCTCCCAAGTTGGTGGACATATCCATGTGCCAGGAGGGTGGCATGCCCCAATTCCACGGGGACAGAATCTCCTGTGCTTGGGACCCTTCTAGACCTTGCCTTAGGTACTTCTGCATCTGGCTGTTCTTTTGTATTTTTTATATCACCTTTATAATAAACCAGTAATAGTAAGTAAACTGTTTTACCTGAGTTCTGTGAGCCATAATAGCAAATTGTCAAACCTGAGGAGGGGTTTGTGGGGAACCCCCACCCCCCAACTTTATAGCCAGTCGGTCAGACGTATGGCTGGCCCAGACTTGCAATTGGCATCTGAAGCAGGAGCAGTCTTGTAGGACTAAGCTGTTAACCTGTGGGCTCTGTACTAACTCACAGTAGTTAGTGTCAGATTTGAATTAAATTGTAGGACACTGGGTGGTGTCTAGAGAGTTGGAGAATTGGTTGGTATGAGAAAAAAACCTGCATATTTAGTGTCAGAAGTGCTGTGAGTAAAAATAGTTTATAGCACACCCTTTCTTAGGAAACTCTACTAGAAGACACTTTGCACCAGAACAAGAGAATAAATAAGGAAGCAGACTAAATGGGATCCAGGACACGGTATAGGTGAGGTGAAGGGAATTCCAGAAGGACAGTTCCAATAAGGATGTCTCAGGAACAAACAAGAACAAGCTGCTAGGGTACCTGATTGTTGAACGTACTAAAAGGAGTTTTACACTTTTTTATCATCTCCAGGGAAAATAAAAATTATACAAAAAAGGAAATGTAATCATAGTATACATCATGGCTTGACTACAGATAATATTCACATCTACTTAATAATGCAACCCTTAATATTAATTTAACCAAAATTTGACATACTTTGGGAAGATGGAGAGAGTAAGTGGAGTAGTATGTGAAGAGAGTGTCAGAACAAAATCCTAATCTTCCATCATAAAAATTAAATAGGTAATGTAATAGTTATCTTTTGCTGCGTAACAAATTACCCCAAAACTGAGTGACTTAAGATAACAATTTTTTTTTTATCTCATCATTTCTGTGGGTCAGAAATTTAGAAGCAGCTTAGAGACCTCTCATGAGGCTGCAGTCATCTGAAGGCATGACTGGGGCCGGAGGATCCTCTCCCAAGCTCACTCAGGTAGCTGTAGGAAGAGGCCCCAGTTCCTCTTCTTATGGGCCTCTCCTCAGGATATGTTGTTATCTGGCTTCTCCAAGAGCAAGTGATACAGAAGATACAATAAGAGGAATTTGCACTGCCTTTTATTACCTAGCCTTGGATGTGACATGCCGTCATCACTTCTGCTATATCCTGTTGACCATGCAGACCAACCCTGAGACACTGTGGGCGGGAGCTGCACAAGGGTGTAAAGGAGGCAAGGGGCCTGGGAGGCTATTTGGAGACTGACTACCACAAATAGTAACTAAAAGTGAAAATTCAAGAAGTAATATTATAGGCATATTACTTAGAAAGGTGGAGATAAATACCAGCAGAAAGAGGTTGCTCCTAGGAACGGGAATGAGAACAGGAGCAGAAACTGCTGGTTTTCATTATAAGCCTTGTAGACCAACTTTAAGACATATTTGTATGTATTACTGTGATTTTTTTTTAATTATGAAAAACCGCCAAAGCACACAGCCATTTAATGTCCCCAACACCAGTAGTAGAGCGATACATGGATTATATAAAGCACTCATAGAATCTGAATCTGTTAAGGATCCTTTGGTATGTGGAAGATAGTGTGTGTGATCTTGAAGGACAGTTTATAGATAATAAACCTAAAGTTCAGTGAAAAAGAGGACATAGTGACAACCTGAGCTAGAATCCTTGAATATACGTGACACAAAGAGATGAGCATTAGGTAATGAGATGCTCTGGCATTTCACTAATGTGGAACTCAGGTGAAGGGGGAAATAGACTGTTTTGCTCTTTCTGAAGAGTAGAAAGTTCTTAAGTGGAGTTGTTTATGTGGCTTGGAGCTATAAATGGCAAAGCTTATTAAAGGAAATATCCTTTTGGCAGATAGTTGGAAAGCACTTTATAGAACTCCCCAGGCTAAGAGTGTGTCGGCAAGGGTTTGATACAAATTGGAGAGAGTCAGCCTCTGTCGCTGTGAGAGCCATGCGCCTGAGCCCTGGGGGTCACGCCGAGTACTGGCCAGTCCACAGCACCAGTCATTCCAGCTGGCTGCTACCAGTGTCATTTGCCTCCTTCAGAGGAACTTTGGGCTCCTTGTGGTCTACCACAGGTTGGTTGGTGCCCAAAGACCACCCCCTCAACATTTGTGCCCATGATGCCTGCTCTGTGCTTGCTTCCCACGTACGCCCCGTATTCAAGTCTGGTGTCGTTTCTCCTCATCTCTTCCTGTTACTGTGTATTTACTCTTCTTGAGGAACCTACTGTTAGGAGCTCCAGGGTTCTTGGACAGTTTATTCCATTCACCTTCTAATAAAACCGGGCTTGGGATAAAGCATTAGAGAAATCAGGTTGGTGGGGGAGTTGGGAAGGGTGCAGTGAAGACTGCCGTATAAGCAAAAACTACCACTTGAGGCATTCAGGTTCATGTTTTTTAACCATTTGAATACCTCATTAAAACATATTGTTGACATTCTTTTACTATAACTGAGTATATTGAATTTAAAATCCTTCAGGGTCTCCATGATAAGCCTCCGCTGTCATGTACTGGGATGCCTTCAGTACCATTCCAGTGGGCAGAGGCTTAAGTTGTGGAAGGGGCAGATTGGGTTGTTGTATTTTCGTTCCTCAGTGTCTGTCTGTATTTTACTTTGCCCACAGATTGGGGACCACAAATTCAGTGCTCACCGGATCGTCTTAGCAGCCTCAATCCCATACTTCCACGCTATGTTTACAAATGACATGATGGAATGCAAACAGGATGAGATTGTAATGCAAGGAATGGACCCAAGGTACTAACTTCCTCCATTAGGTTTCACAGGCTTTCCAGGTGCAGCTCCAGCCCTGTGTTTGGTGCCATTCGAGGGCCTGCAGCAGGACATAGTATCTAGCACGCACTCAGCAGGTGATTAGTAAACAAGGTAGAACCTCAGCCAGTGGCCTGGGACAAAGTTAAAATGAGAGTTTCAATGTATTTTTACTCCGTTAGAGTAACACGTTTAATAGGAACTAGGTACCAAGATTTTTTTAAACTAGGACTGGGTACAAAGGTGGTGGTGTATTATTCTCTGCACTTTTCTGTGCTAGCCATTTTAGCTGGCAAAATAGTTTTTCAAATAAGTGTCTTCATTCATTACTCTTCTCATCAGTCTAGAACAGTGTTGTCCAGTAGAACTTTCTGCAGTGATGGAAATGTTCTATTTGTGCTGTCCAAAATGGTAGCCACTAGCCACGTATAGCTATTGAGCACTTGAAATGTGACTAGAGGCACTGAGGAACTGAATTTAAAATGTATTTCATTTTAACGCATTTAAACTTAATTTTAATTAGCCATGTGTGCCTAATGGCTACTGTATGGGTAGGGCAACACAGGTGTAGAAGGTGGCAGATATTGTGGTTGTTTGGTGAATGAGAAAATTGAAGCTAAAGGAGGTCAAGCCCAAGGTTATCTAGTTAACCAGTAACCTGTCATTTTTTGCCTACCCTCTTAATCTCATAATGTTTAAAACTAGAGGGAAAGGTGCTAGGAGACTGTGGTGCCCTCTAGATGATTGAAGGTGATTTGCCCCAATACATGGAGAGGATTTATATACCCACCGCAAGGCAGAAGTCTAAGGTCAGCTACTTGTAAGGAAAGACACAGAAGTGGGTCTCCAGGGGCATTTGTACAGCATCTTCTCTGAGGTCTGTGTCTGAAGGAGCTGTGCTAATCACCATGCACAGTCCAGGTGCTTCATTTAACAGAGATAGACTGAGCACCTGTGACTGTGCTGCAGTAGGCACTGAGGTATAGCAGTGATAAAACAGAAAGCACCTCTTATTGTGCCAACTTTCTAGTAGAGGGGATCTGGCAGTAAACAAATACAAGTGCCTGACATGGCTGGGAAGTGAAAGTGATGTGAGACAAGTAAAGCAGAGTAAAGGCTAGCGAATGATGGTGGGGGTCTGTGCTATTTCAGGGTGATCAGGGAAGGCTTCTGTGATGAAGTGACTTTTGAACCAAGACCTTAATTGAAGTGAGGGAGTGAGCCATCTGGGGGAAGAGCCCTCCAGAGGGAACAGCCAGTGCAAAGGCCCTGAGGTGAGAGTGTGTTCAGCATGTTGGAATAGAGTGAGGGGGCAAAGAGTGGAAGGTGATGAGGTCAGAGAGATGGAGAGGGGCCAGACCACCTACAGCCCTATAGACAGGTTTTGGATTTCATTCTCAGTGTGAATTGGAAGCCAGAAAAAAATGTTGGAAATCTCATTCTGGAAATTTATCCCAAAGAAATAATGCAAAAACATTATTTATAATGGCAGTAAGATGGTAATAGCTATTATGCCTACCAATAAAGGAAATAAATTATAGCATATTTACATGTTGAAATACTATATAGCAGCCACTAAAAACAGTAAACGTGAAAATAGCGTAGCAACATGGGAAAGGCCTGTGTAAGTTTTATGTAATTATATCCATACACTTTATATGTGCAGGTGAACATGAACTAAAAATGAGCCTAAGAAAATGACCCCTGTTGACTCATTCAGTAGTGAGATTGTGGATAATTGCTTTCTCTTTTTAGCATTTTCTGTGATGAAATTATTTCGGCAGTAAAGACAACTTAAGTAGAATGAGTCTTTGGCTATGGCGAAATAATTATTCCGTTCAGATAGCTTCTCAAAGGGCATGGGCTAAATGGATTTTAGAGCAGAGCCCATCCATTCCCCAGATAGTAATGTCAGCTCACTTAAGACTTGAGTCTCCTGTGGGCCAAGACCCATCTCTGAAGAGCCTCTTTCCTCTTTCCTCTAGTGCCCTGGAGGCTCTGATCAACTTTGCCTACAACGGCCACCTTGCCATTGATCAGCAAAATGTCCAGTCATTGCTAATGGGGGCGAGCTTCCTGCAGCTGCAGAGCATCAAAGACGCCTGCTGCACGTTCCTCCGAGAACGGTGAGGTGATGTGGTGGGCCTGGCCCGGGGTGGGGAGCATGACCATTTCATTCCTGGAATCCTCTGCCAGTTTGCTGAGTCTTTGGGGCATACAGAGTTTTATGAAGAGAGTGAGCTGGGAAGGTTACTCTGCAGAAATGACCTTTCTTGAAATCAATATCAAACAGTGCCCAGTTCTTTGGGATGAACCTTTGAGGAACGTGATTTATAGAACCCTGCCTGTATTCTCCCTTGGCCTGACATGTACCTCTTCTTCTGGTCCTCTCTCTCCAATCTGACCAGGCACTAATTTAGCTGCCTGTTCTCACAAAACCAGTGTATTCAGTGCTCCTTAACTCTTCCACAGACATCTCCATCTTTGTTCAGCTCCTTCCCCCTCCTTGAATTTCTTGACCTTCCTCTTTCCTTCAGCTCTGTAAGAGCCCACCCAAATTTCACCTCCTGGAATTCTCCGTCCGCCTCAGTCCCCTGGGATAATCATTGTATGCTCTTTTAGGGTAAGGACCATGGATTATACCTCTACCTATGTCAGGAACTTAGCAATGACCTTTTGATGACTGAGCGGATAAGACTCTTCCTCCCCCTCAAGAGGCAGAGCTCTCAGTCATAGGGTAAAAAACACCGTTTAATCACTAGAGGCTTGGGTGTGAGGGTTAGTGCCGGGCTATACACAGGCAGGGAGAAACCAGGACAGCAGCCCTGTGTCTGTGGTACTCTCCAAGGCCTCCACCTGAGCTACCCTGATCACCAGGTCCCTGGCCTTAAGACCAGCATTTCTCCTATCTCAGATCTGCCCTCCTGAACCTCATCCTCTCTTAGAGCTGACCTCCCTGTCTCCAATTCCTGTTCCACCAATCCAATTCACTTAGCAACTCTGTGGATCATGCCTGCTGTCCACATGCTGCCCCTATGGTGCTCATAGATATCACTGAACACTGCTGTATGTGCGGCAAGTCATAATACCTGTGGTGATGATGCCTACCATGCAGGGATGCTGTCTGCTGGGCATGGATGAGTGGTTTCATCATGAGGTAGGTGGTCCTTTTCTGGGTTTTGTAGATGGAGACCATGTAGTGAGTGGAGCCCCAGAGCCTGGCTTGTTCCTACCCTGGGATGCCTTCTGGGTTCTGCTGGAGGGATACATGGGTGAGGGGTCACATACTCTCTTTCCTACTCATTTGTAAGCTTCTTAAGGACACAAACTGTGCTTAGTCCATTTCTCTGTTCCCACAGAACTTGGAGAATGGTTTTCTGATTAAGTAGGCACTCTGGAAAGGACTAAGTTGTCCACCTGACCAAGGGAACAACAGCTCCACCTAGGGGCTTTTGAGGTCATCACTGTCAACACTGGATCCTGTCTCTATTATAAAGTAGTGTCACCTAAAAGATGCTTAGAAAAGTGATTTTTAGACGAGTGCAGTTTTTACGTGCACCAATGGCATTTTAGGAAAACGTTCTTAAAACACAAAGCCTGATGTTTTGAGTCTGTCCTTGACACTTTTTCGTTTAGCTCTGCGAGACTCCTTTTGAACCTTAAACTCATACTTTATTCCTGTTTTATTCCTTGCCACAGGCCCCATAGGCTTGGCCTGCTTTCTGTTTTCCCTCCAACAGTTACTGTCGCTGCCTCTGTTCCTTGGGGTGGTTCTCCCCAAGCCTGGCTGCAGAGTATGATGGGGTCTCCCAGCTCCCTGCTTCCTATGTGCCCTTGAAGACAAGCACATGGCCCTTCAGTTTCAAGATTTGATTACCAACGACCTGAGGGAAATCATTCTGAGCAGTAGTGGAAAAAATGGTGCGCGACAGAGCACAGAGAAACCACAAAGCCATCACAGTTGTTGGAACAGTAGTTCCTGAGGCCACTCTGCCTGTTAGAGCTTCCGCCTGCAGGTTTTTTTTTTCCTTGTGGCCTTTTTTCCCAGCTTTCAGATGTATGGACCTTATTGTTTTTAGGTGAGCACTGGCGCTGTGTATATTCCAAAACTCTTCTATCAGAACTGGACTAGAACATCAATACGTCAATGAACCAATCCACTAACTTAATTCAAGTCACTGCTTCCTGCCTCTGATCAAGCATTACATCTTGTGGCCTCCTTGTTTGCAAATTCAAGCTATGTCAACCACGAAGGAGGTTGTGAAGTCTCTAATGAAAGATGTGGGCCTCTATCTGCCCTTTTGGTTTATTTTCTCTCTCATCGCCCTCCCACTCCTGAGACGGCCCCTTTCCGGCCTGGTAGCTCTCCCTCGTCTCTCCCCACTAATTGCCTCATAGACTTCCCACATCCCATCCTGTTGGATGTGAAAGCCCAGTTCAGTTGAAGGTGTGTTTTTTGTTCAATATTATGCCAAGCCAGTCAAAGACAGCCAAAGGTAAGGTACAGGAATCCTAATCTGAGAGGGAGAGGATGGAAATGTATGCCAATCAGCAATATTGATAATCCTTTCCCATGTCTTCAGACTCTATCCAGTACCCAGTCTATGACATTTTGAATCCTCCTCTTGAGTTGATGTCAGAGCAATAGGGATGAAAAAGCACATGCTGTAGAGGCCCAGGGAAGGTTTATCCTCTTATCTGCCATACGTGTGTAAAGTGCTTTTAACAGGTCTTGTTCCGTCACCATAAGTGCTCCAGGAGAAAGGTGTTATTTGACAGATGCCTGAGCTGACATCCTGGCCTTGAGCCCTGTGTTTCTCACTGGCCATGCTGCCTTGTCCGTGTGTTGCTCGGTGCTCGTGTTTCCTTGGCCTTTGGAAATGCACGTAGGTTTCCGAAGCAATGGACAGAGCCAATTCAGGCTGGATGAAACAACAGCTTTGTAGAATTTAGACTAGTGACAAAGCCGGGCTCCTGAGATGCTGTGCCTCTTCAGTCCCTGACAGGTCTGCTGCTGTAGGACAACGGTGATTATTAGTTAGTGAGTCTAACTTTGTGCCTATAACCTGAAACAGCATGGAGGAAAAGGAAAAGAGAGAAAGCATTCTAGTGAAAAAAGTAAACCTGGGCAGTTTTAACGTGTTAAATACCATCTCCCTCCATAGATTATCAGTCATAATATCAAAATAAGAGAAGACCCATCCCCCAGTGGCTGCTGCTGTCACCAAGATTTCAGAAGCACATTGGGCTCATTTGGGATTTTCTCAGATGCAATAGTAGTAGGAAAACAACCATAATAAAATCAAGACAGCAGCTAACTTCATACCAGGCACCATGCTGAGTGCTTTTCCTACATTCTTAATCATGGCCAGAGCCCTAGGAGATAAGTAACTGTTGTCATCACCTTTTTCCAAGTGAGGCTGTTACTGACACTTAAGGAGCCTAAGGAACCCGCTGAAGTCACCCAGTGAGCAGCAGGGCCAGGATTTACTGGGTGTCCCTGGCCCCATGAGTGCAGGTCTGCCTCGGGGTCATAGGAACGTGCACAAGAGGCCAGGGTTCGGTCTCACCATCACTGCTTGCTTACAGAGGGACTATGATCACATTTCTTAGTTTCTGTGAGCTTCAGTTTTCCATCTAAAAGTGAGAACAATTGCTACTTTGCAGTGTTGTTTAAAAGATTTTAGAAACTGTGTATGAAAGGCCTAGCAAAGTACTTGGCTCACTGATGGTGCTAGTAAGTGATAGCTGCTGCTGCTGTTTCTGCGTGTCTGAACAGTTAGGCCCAGAGCGCCTCTTTCTGTTTAAAACAGACAGAAGTGTAAGGGTGCTGATGTGAGAAAAGTCATCTCTTTGCTTGGTTTAAACTCCTATCCTACAACTCAGTGCCTTCCTGGTGATCAGAGGTGGGTACTCAACCAAGAATGTCAATGGCTGAAGGAAAGCATACAGGTTTCCCAGTACGCGTTCTCCTATCCTTGTCTCCTGAGAGCTGCTCCGCGGGACTTCCCAGAGAGTTCATTCCACCTAGACACAGAGCACTAGGCCTGAAGGCAGGACCTTTGAGGATAATCTGTCTTAATTTTATACCTTTCCAAGTTGAGTCCCAGAGAGTCATGTCTGATGTCACACAGGGAGTTTTTAACAAAGGTGAGGACAAAGCTTGTTTTTTTTTTTTTTTTTGGTTCTGTGGCTCCACCCAGAACCAACCTGAGAATAATCAAAGATAACATTCTTTCTTTCTCTAATTTTTTTCTTTTCATCTTTTCTTATGCCAAAAGGCTTCACCCCAAAAATTGCCTGGGCGTACGCCAGTTTGCTGAGACAATGATGTGCGCTGTGCTCTATGATGCGGCCAACAGCTTCGTCCACCAGCACTTTGTGGAGGTGTCCATGTCAGAAGAATTCCTGGCCCTGCCCTTGGAAGACGTGCTTGAACTGGTGTCTCGGGATGAGCTGAACGTCAAATCAGAGGAGCAGGTCTGCAAAGCACGGCAGCATTCTGCAGGCGACATGGCTGCTGCTCTCTCTAAGCTTTGTTTTCTGTTTTTGTTTTTTTTTTTACAAAATGAAGAACATGATGTATATGAAGCTATTGTTTATTATGGGTTTGTTTTATTATTTCCTGTGCATTTTCATGAATTTTTTTTTTACATTTTAGTGTGTAAAGAATATTCAATTGATTTTATCAACCCTACTTCCTTATTCTTGGGTGTTCAGGTTATTTCCAATATTTACTATTAGAAATTATGCCACTGTGAACTGGAAATAAGCATAGATAACTTTTTGAAAGAGTCTTATTCTAAAGAAGAGCAGAGCATTGTGGCGGTCAGTGGGGGTGAGAATATGAAGTCAAGTGGGGTGCTTTTTTTTTGAGGTGAGAGAAATTGTATTTTCTCTGCTGATGGGAATATTCCAGAAGGGAGGGAAGAATTGGGGATGTAGGAGAGACGGGAGAATAGTTGCTGGAATGATGTCCTGGAGTGAGAAGAGACAGAGTCTGGGACACAAGGGGTGTGTATTTGATAGGACCGCAGGCCGTTCACATCCACCACCGCAGGAGGGAGAACAGGACACCCCAGATGCAGGGGGAGGGGCGAGTGGGAAGGGAGATACTGGTAGAATCTGTTGATATTCTCTGCTGAATTGTTTCTTTTATTTTCTCAGCTGAGAATGAGAATAAGGAACAAGTGTTAGAAATGTGAGGCGAGGTCAAAAGATATGAACTAGGCCTCTAGGAGAGGGGGAGAGTAAATGGTTTTTGTTCCTCATTTTGTTAATGTGGTGGATCACATTGATTGATTTGCAGATGTTGAACCATCCCTGTGCCCCTGGTATGAATCCCACTTGATCATGGTGTATGCTGTTTTTAATGTGTTGCTGTATTTGGTTTGCCAATATTTTGTTGAGGATTTTTGCATCTATGTTCATCAGCAATATTGGCCTGTAATTTTCCTTCTTTGTGTTGTCCTTGTCTGGCTTTGGGATCAGGGTGATGTTGGCCTTGTAGAAAGTGTTAGGAATTTTTCTGTCTTCCTCAACTTTTTGGAATAGTTTGAGAAGGATAGGTAATAAATCTTCTTTGAATATTTGGTAGAATTCTCCAGAGAAGCAGGGGGAGAGTAAATGGATGATGCTAGGGAAAAAGAGAGGACTTTCTAAAGGAGCCGGGGCCTGATGAGATTAGCAGTCACATATTTAAAATAAATTGGTCAGCTCTGTTGTGTTTTCTGTTAGCCGCATATACTGCTGCAGGTGCAGAATAGGGGGTGAGTTGAGTTTAAAGAGCTGGACTTTACTTGGGGGGGGGGCGGAGGGTAAAGATTTTTTCCAGGTGAGTGTGATTAAGGGAGATAGGAGTGTAGCATGGGAATTGAGGGCACCTGCATAATAACCCATGGAACCCATGCTGGATGAGAGAGGTGAGGAAATAGGCCAGAGGAGGGACCTGAGAGGGAGGTTATGGAAGGGTCAGCAGTGTCACAGGCTAAGTGGAGGCAGTGACTAAGCTGGAAGGATTAGAGGCAATAGTCAGGCACTGGTATACTTAAAATAATGGAAGATGTGAAGCTATTGGCAGAGCAAGATGTGGATGATCATAGGGTCCTTGAAGGACAAAGAAGACATCTTCTGGGGGTGGTCAAAGAGAGCCTAACCAAGAGTGTAAGGTGTTAAGAGTGTAGGGTGTTAGTAGTCAGAGAGGAGTGAAGGATGATCCTTTTTGTTCAACAAAGGTGTGGTGCAAGTTTTCTTAAGAGGATACTGAGTAAATGTTACTTTGAGCAGAGGCTGGCGAGCGCTGGATGAGTGAAGGGTATTGAAAGTTTGGACCTGGCCCTGCAAGCACTGGAAGCACTACTGTGGCAAGGCCTCTGCCCATTTGGTCAGTTGGGAAGTCTAATCAAGGTCCATGGCAGAGCAGCTTGGGATATTTGAAATCAAGAGTCCTAGTCTATCATGAAGCTGTGCTTCAGCAGGAGGAGCTCCAGCCTCCAGGAGGCAAGCCATTGGGAGGTTAGTCCCAACTTAGCTCCTATCCTTAGCGTCTGAAGAGCCCTCACCCCTGAATATTAGAGAGCAGTAGAAAAATGGACCCTGAGCTTGGCAGCATGGGTGCTGAGATTTAGAGGAAAGAGCCCCAGCCCAAGAACAAAGAGTTCTGTCTCTAGCTCTTCCACTAGTTAATATGACCTGTGGCAGCTCACGTTTATTGGAGTGATATGTTCTGTAAGGGCTGTAGGGTTTTGGAGGGAGATGTTCTTGTGGCTGGAGCCATTAGGGAAGGCTCCTCAGAGAACATGGGGCTGGAACCAGGCCTTAAGGGGAACGGGTTTGGATAAAGACAAGGAGATGAGGGGGCATTCCAGGTGAAGGGGACAGCCAGCCTGGCTAGAGTAGGGGGTGGTGGAGAGAGTTTAGGTTAGGAGTAGGGTGCAAGAGCAGCAGGAAGGAAGGTAAACAGGTATTTTGTTGTGAGGCAGAAAGGAATAAGGAGCCATTGGTGGGTTTTCATTAGAAAGTCATAATGAAAGCCAGAAAACTTTTCTAGTAGCCTAGGCTTGCGTTGCAAGAGACTGGACTGAATGGAGTAGCTGCAGAAGTGGAGAGAAAATAATGGCTTCAGGAGACAAGCGGGAGGAAAGATTGATGGGTCCAAGAGACTGCCTCAGTGTATGCAGTGGAGGGTTTGAAATTGGGGGTACAGGGATGTGGCCTCTGGTTGGAAGGAGTTGCTGCTAGAACTTCCACTCTCTGTCGTGGCAGGTCTTTGAAGCCGCATTGGCTTGGGTAAGATATGACCGGGAGCAGAGGGGGCCCTGCCTGCCCGAGCTGCTGTCCAACATCCGCCTGCCCCTCTGCCGGCCCCAGTTCCTGTCAGACCGAGTGCAGCAGGATGATTTGGTGCGTTGCTGCCACAAATGCAGGTGAGCAAATGTGGGCCTGCACAGGACACTGCCGAGGGTCTGGACAGAAAAGAGAACTTGGCCACTTAGGCCATTTCTGTGCCAGCTCAGGGGAGGAAGGATTGAGAGTGGTCAGTCTTAATTCATGGCACACGGATGGATCTGCTTTCTGTCTAGAACCTGGGGAGCCTGAGTCTTACACCTTGGGCAGAGAAATGTGTCATGTGGGAGCATCAAGGTAGAAGGAGCTTCCTCCACTCAGTTATCTGAGGATTTTCTAGCATCCCCATCCACTGAGCTATTTATGAACCTATAGGCATCTGTACTGCCTGCCCTGACTCTGTTCACACCCAACAGCCAACTTAGTGCTGACCTCCTGGTGCTCCTTGCCCTCTTCAGTGAACATTAGTCAGTGTGCTGGCCTCAGGTGGGTTTGCCATCTACAGTGATGGGCAAGGGGGAAACATGTTCACCAGCACGAAAAATTTACCCAGAGTAAATCAGTGACAACATGGTACAGCAGAGCTACCAAAACAGGTCAGAAGACGGCAGCCCTATAGGAGGATTGTTATAAAAGTAGAGCAGCAGAAAAAAATGTTCCTCCTCCTTCAAATTGCTTGTCATAGTCACAGCTAGTTCAGGAGGAAGTCAGTGGCTTAGTGTAAGCGGTGTGAATGTGTGTGTCAGATAAAGGTCAAGGCGTGGCTGAGGTAGCCGAAACCTCGTGATGAGCAGTCTCAAGGGTGCTGTTGAGGAGTTTAAACTTGATTTTCTGATAACGTGTAGTTATCAGAGGTTCTTAGAAAAACAGTTTGGACTGAGTGAGAGGTGGAATGGAGGGTGGGGCTGGAGGCAGGGAGCAGTCAGGAGCACCTGGCTTCTGCTGCCATGGTCCAGGTGAGAGTTGGTTAACTGCAGGGCGTGAGCCACAGGGGTGGAAAGGAGGAGCTGGGGCTGAGTGGTAACTGGATGCAGGCTGCTTGTTGAACCTCCCCAAGGCCAGCTATTCAAGGCACAACCCTGTTTGTCTTCTGCCAGGTGTATGCCTGTTAGAAGATACTCACTCTGACTAAACTAGAGGTGGGCTCTACTCACCTTGCCTCTCCAATTTTGAGCATGTTTCAGTAGCTGTGTATGGTTTCCTCTGGACTCACCTGGGTTCTTTGAGAGCCTGAGTTCTTTGAGAAACCTTCCAGGTTTCCGCTACCGTTGTGAGTGAGGGAGCCAGGCTCAGAAATACAGATGTGGACCAAGTGGGGAGAATACCTCCTGTCCTAGCATCTTGCACCTTATTCCAGGGACCTGGTAGACGAAGCAAAGGACTATCACCTCATGCCAGAGCGCCGGCCCCACCTGCCGGCTTTCAGAACTCGGCCTCGCTGCTGCACGTCCATCGCTGGGCTTATCTATGCCGTGGGGGGCCTCAACTCAGCAGGTATCTTGCAACTCCCCTTTGCACAGCCCAATCTCGGACTCCATGGATGAAGAAGCACCAAACAACCTAGCCTGGCCCTCTGGTTCCTCTCCTTTGTATGTCACCACCTTTGTCCCTCTTGTTTTTATGTAATTGTTCTGCAGTTAGAGCATGTCAGATATTAATACCATTGGATTAGAATATGAGAGCTAAAAGGGCCTTTATAAATCCTTGAGGCCTAGCCCCTTTACCTTACAGATGGGGAAATTGAGGCCTAGACAACTTTAGCTACGTTTACACAAGTTGTTTTTGGCAGAGCAAGGACTACGACTCAAGCCCTGATTCCTGAGCCAGCACTCTTTCCCTAATATCACGTTGGCTATGGGATTTACACAGCCCTGGATAGGATGCAATCAGAGACCCACTTCTGTTACCAGGCTAATCACATTTGGTCACATGGATCTCTGGGGTTAGACTGAGAATGTCACCATAAGAAGGAAGATTCTCCAAATACACAGGGTCTGTCGTTGTCAATAATACTTTTTACTCTTCACCTCTTACCTCCTGTGAAACACACACAAGCTTTCAGTCCGTGTGTCATTGGCAGCTCTTGTATCATACAGTCAGGTTTTTGGGAAAGCTCCTTGGGGCCCCCTCTCCTCCTGCCCACCCAGGCACATTGCAGGGAAGGAGAGATTTAGCAGAGAGGGCAGTGTGGACACCTGAATTTTTGCAGTACAGTGGCACAGGGAGTTGTCACTTCTGATGTGAAGGCCAGGCCTTTTCACGACGTCAGTCAGGTTTGTGGGAGGTGGGGAATTGCTGGGCAGTCCTGGGCAGTTTTGTTTTTAATTGAAGGTTAATGAGAGGTGGGTACTAGTCTCTGCTGCTTGTTAACCATATGACTTGGAAAAGGTGAGACCTCAACTAGTTAACTCTGGAGTGTGGCAGGTGCTAAGTGTCCCAAAGCAGAATAAAACAGGCAAGGGGATTATTTTATTTGATCCTAAAAAAACCTGACAAACAAAGTAGGGTTGGAATTATCATTCCTTGCTACTATGACTACTATTTATTTACTTATTATTTATTGAGCACTTAATATGTTCTAGAAGTATGCTAGGTGCTTTACTTATTATATCATTTCATCCTCACGGGAGCTCTGCCATAGAAATTATTTCTGTTTCACATGTGAGAACAGAAGATGGGGATACAAAGCAACTTGCCCAGGGTCACTTGTTACTAAGTGAAAGTTGGCATTGGAACCCATGCCACTCTCTGTCGGCGAGCCTCCTGCATTGGGGAAATAGTGTATCCAGTTGCCTTCATCTTTGGCTTTAGGCAGGTGGAGTACCTCATTGCAACTTAAAACTGCCCTCTCTAAAAAGTAAGTGCCTCCTGTCTGATTCTGATTTTCCTTAAAGAATTAGGTTTGAGGGTCCATCATGGCTGAAATTTCTTAGTGGGCCCTTCTGGCTTGAGTAATTCTGTGGGAGGAGCTGATAGAATCAAGTCAAACGTTCCATGTAATCATTGCCCAGCAGCTGTGATCTAAACGAGTGGTCTCCTTTGTTTTAATTTGAGTAGCAAATTTTTATGCAGGTGATTCCCTGAATGTGGTGGAAGTGTTCGACCCCATCGCCAATCGCTGGGAGAAGTGCCATCCCATGACAACAGCCCGCAGCCGCGTCGGTGTGGCTGTGGTGAACGGGCTTCTCTATGCCATCGGCGGGTATGATGGCCAGCTGCGGCTGAGCACTGTGGAGGTCTACAACCCGGAGACAGACACGTGGACGAGAGTCGGGAGCATGAATAGCAAGAGAAGGTATTCTGGAAGCCTAAGCATACACACTGAGCATCTGGGGAGCGCCATGCTAGACAAGCAGACACGCAGGGGCACATAATAAAGTAAATACAAGTTCTGGCCTGGGAATTTCCTTCAGCCAGGCCAGCCACTGCCAGTACCTTCTGGGAGCCAGCCCCCATCGCTTAAAAGTAAAATCCCTGCCTTGTCCTATGAGGAGCTTGGGGAGACGAGGCACAGACATGTGGAAGTTGTATTGTTATTTAAATGCCAGTTAAGAACTGAAAATGTGTGTTATGGAAGATTCGAGGAGAAAGAGAAACTGGACTGGAACGTCTGGAAGATTTCAGGGAAGAGGTGGGATTAAAGTTGAATCTTAAAGAATAAGGAGGATTTTATTAGTGATAAAAGGAAACACGAGGTGTTTTTCTTACTTTCTTTCCCCCAGGGTCCCTGTCAGACTTATGCTTTCACTACCCAGAGAGTATATGAACCGTAGTAATGTTCTTCAATTCAGGGCTGCCACACATTCCCCCGGGCATGAGCACATAGGTTTGGTGAGGTGGACCAAGCTTATATGTCTCTTAACACATTCCTACTACTTGTTTCCTCCATCACTTGCCTGTTCACATTTCCTCAATAAGAAGTGGGATTAGAGGACATCCAGTTAGTGCCTCCATTTAGTCTTCTTAGGGCTAAAGTGACAGGTGGCATCTTTCCTTACAGCCGACATGTGTGGAGTATTTACCCAGTTGGACAGTGGGAGCTTTGGAGTGGAGGGTGTAACTGGACAGGTTCTTCCATTCTTCTCTGCCCTCAGTGAGGCCGCACAGAAGAGTGGTTTCAAATGGCACTCTGATGTTTCTCTTCGGGACTGACAGGAGAGGAAAGCAGTCCAGGGCCTCTACTGTTTAACCAGAACAGCTCTGTGTTTCTCTCTTTTACATAATGAGCTTCCTTGACATATGCCCAACTTTAGGGGATAAAAGCTAAGTGAAATTTTTTTTTTGAAAGGGGCAGTTTGAAAACTACTGGACCAGTTGCTTTTTTTTTTGAGGAAGATTAGCCCTGAGGTAACATCTGCCGCCAATCCTCCTCTTTTTGCTGAGGAAGACTGGCCCTGAGCTAACATCCATGCCCATCTTCCTCCACTTTATATGTGGAACGCCTGCCACAGCATGGCTTGCCAAGTGCTGCCATGTCTGTACCCGGGATCTGAACCGGCAAAACCTGGGCCGCCAAAGCGGAACGTGCAGACTTAACCGCTGCGCCACTGGGCCGGCCCCTGGACCAGTTGCTTTTTAAGGCCCTTTCTGCTTTGTAATTCTGTGGTGTAAGTATTTGCCTTACAGACCCCTTTGTCTGCTCATGCTTTGGGTTTTCTACTTGTAAGATCTCATGGCTGCAAAAAAAAAAAAAAAAGATTCAGTGACTGCATATGTGCTGAGGAAGAAGAGTCAGTGTGGAAGTCCTTTGCCACATAAAAGTGTCATGGCCATAATACACATGTTCTGTGTTCAGCAGTGTTTGTGTGTGGCCTTGAGTCGGGAGGAGTCTGCCTTTATATCAATAAGACCAGATTCACAAAGGGTCAAAGTAAGTTCCTTTTGGAAGGAAAAAATATGTCCGTGAGATCTGCTCTTCCCAAGGCGGTGAGCTGACGCTCTCCTGGTTCCTTCCACTGGCTCCACCTCGGGGCTTCCTTTTCCTCTCCTTGGATCCTTTGCAGCTTTCTGTGGCCTTCAGTGACTCATTGCTCCCTGTCTCCAACCATGAGTGCCTTTTTCGCTCTGACTGCAGTCAGTTGTTCTTCCTTTATGTCTGCTCTGGGCCACTGCCTTGCTTTCAATGTCACAGGGTTTGGAGTATTGTCTGGAAGGAGAGTCCTCTGGGTGATCCTTCCCCTCGCTGTGGCTAATGCCTTGTTATTAGTAGCATGAGCCCAGCTCCATTTCATCCCCTTTAAATTACAAGCTACCTTAAAATGTTCTCAGTCACTTCTCTCCTGACATCCCACACAGCTCTCTGTTCCTGCCCATCGGTGACAACCTCCTTTCTGCCATCGTCATTCCTTCCCCTATCGTCCATGGCACTTCTCTCATGGACTATTCCAGTCTACACAGATCAGCATTTCCCCTTATCCTTTCACACTTGTCTTTACCACTTAGTTGACAGTTAATCTTACATGGTTTTTTGGCACCACTTAATTCATATTGTTGTTGAACTCCTGTGTTACTACTACTGTCTACTTCTAGAGGGATAGTGACCTATCTAGTGAATTTGTGATCTTCCCACAGTCCTTCCCTAAGGCAAGTTATTTTCCTATCTCAGGCTGTTTTAGAGTCTATTACCATCTCACTCAAAGGGACATTATGTGGATCCGTTTGATTTGTTATGTACATTTGAAAGGTGGCAGTAAGCCTGGTATATTTTATTTTCCTGTTTGTAAGATACCCAGATTCATTTTTAATCTTCTCCAGCATCAGGTTTGAAAACTGACTCGAGCAGCTCGGCATTTGTGTTTAATTTATCCTGAGGCTCTGTCTGGAACAGATTACATGATTATACCAGACGCCTGGGTCTTTGATATTAGGGAGCTTGGCATGGTGAACAGCATGGGAGTCAGGCTTGTCTCATTTTACTCTGAGCATGCCTCTCACTGGGCAGCCTCAGCAAGAGAGCCCAGCCTCCCTGAGCCATGGCTGCTCATCTGTACAGTGATGATGGTGATACTTCCTTGCAGCGTGTGGTGAGGGTGGAAAATAGCAAGTGTAGAGTACCTGACATGTGTAGTAGGCGTAACAAACAGAAGCTGTTGCATCACCCATTAAGACAAATTCAGGCCATGTAGGCCCACATATGTGATGAAAAGACATCTGTCAAACTTGATAGTGAATTAAATGGGAAAATCAGGGTAACCCAGCAAACATATGCTGGGGGCCTGTTATGTACAAAGCACCACCCTAAGCTCTGTCAGAGTCACACAGATGAAGATCCCTGTCTTCCAGGAGGTCCACACTTGTTAAGAAGTGGCAGGTAGATTCCCAGTTTCCCATGGTGCCAGAACGTAGCACCTGTGGGCAGGAGCTTTGGCTTGTTCACCACTCTAATCCTAGTGCCTGGGACAGGTGCCTTGTGAGTGCCTAATGCAAATCTCATGAGTGAGTGAGTGACTGTGACAGGTGCTGTCATAAAGAAGCTGCTCTGGAAGTGTGGGGCTGGAAGAGAGTAATTCTTGCTGAGAGATCCAGGACAGAAAGAGAGAGAGAGGAATTTGACCTGGGCCTTAAAGGTAAATTAGAGCCTGAGCATGGCAAGGTGTAAGATGAGCATTTCAGACAGATCAAGGACTAAGAAGAAATAAGGAGGGAGGTAACTGCGGGCAATGGGGTCGGAGGCAAGAGGAACCACAGGGCAGCTTCTTTCCCTTCAATTTTATACCTTAGTCAACATACATGGGATTTAGGTGTTTTCTAGAAAGAGTCATGGGTGGTTAGGTTTACTTCTCAGTGACATGAGGGGCTGCCCGAGGAATTCTGAGGCCCATGTGGGATGACAATTCTGTCTGTTTCAGTGCCATGGGGACTGTTGTGCTGGACGGGCAGATCTACGTCTGTGGGGGCTATGATGGCAACTCTTCCCTCAACTCTGTGGAGACCTACTCACCTGAGACGGACAAGTAAGGGCTCCAGCTCCCCTGGGGCAACCGGAGCTTGCTAAACAAAGATGAAAAATTAGAACTGTAGCTTTTTATTTAAGCTTCTCAAGGATAGAGAATATCGTACCTTTTTAGCCCCTATAGTACCTTGCATATAATTGGTATATAAAAACCTTTGGTTAAATGAATGAGTGATTAAATAAATTTTAGAAGCCAATAGTCTACATAGATACTTGGAAACATTCATTTAATAGTGTGTACCTCTTAGCTAAATCAGCCCATTTTAATGGAAATGCAGAAGAAAGGGGATAAAAAATAGATCAACAGCACTTTCTAAAGTAGGATACGTATGATTTGGGTAGGATATGATTTGGGGGAAAAAAGCAAGGAAAAAAGTTACATGGTCAAATGGTCAAATAAGCTTGGAAAATGTTGGTATCTGTACCACCAGAGTCCTTATCTTTCCAATTGACATTTTAAAGGCTCTGAAAAATTCTGTGGTAGGAAACCCTATTTAATCTCATTTTATATAACATCTATCACCATCTTATGGAATTATTTTGTGGAACACTCTGGAAAACAGGGGCAAGGTTAACCCAAATTTTTCATTTTGGTATTTGAATCTTCTCATATTATGTAACAAAGTATAAGCAAATTTTAGTTGAATGGCTTCATCAGAATGCTTTTAAGTCAATATTCCATTCACTTAACCAACTTACTGTGTATTGGACAGCAATATGGGTATCTGAGATCCTTAAATAGCACCCAGTCTGCTGGGGCCACAGCGCGTTGTGATCATTCTACCCTGGAGACCTGTGTCTGGAGCTCTTGGGCACAGAGTGGGGAACATCTTCATCTTCCCCACAGTGGGGAGAGGCAGGGTTGCAAGGATGTCTTCTGAGGGGAGACCCATCATGGATAGACAGTGGGACATGTGCATCATAGGCAGAGAGACATCAGGGAGAGGCTCAGAGATTAGGAAAAAAAGTGCTCAGTGTGACCAAGGAGCAGGCATGGGTGGCACATGGCAGGAGGTAATGCGGGAAAGTAGATGAGGACCAGGTGATAAAGAACCACGTTAAGGAACTTGGGCTCTGCCTTAGAAGAAACAGTGAGGAGCCACTGGAGGGATGTGCTGTGTGGAGTCAGGATGGGCTGGTCTGAAAGCCAGGCCACCTGTAAGGAGGCTGTTGCAGTGGTCCAGAGGAGAAACCAGAGGTAAGATAGTGGGGATGGGAACAAGCAGTGACTAGGAGGCAAACCAGAAGGGACGTGGTTGACCACAAGAATGTTGAGAATGAGGGAGAAAAGGACATAAAAACGCTGAGTTTATAAATACAGCAACTTGATAGCTCATGGTCCCAGTAGCAAGACCAGGGAGTCCAGAGGAGGAGCAGATCTGTAGAAGAGAGAGGCCTTGTTTGGGACCTGCTGATTTTGAGCACCAGTAGAGAAGACTAGCTTCAGATCTGAGGCTTGGGCAAGAAGCAGCAGCCAGAGAGAGCCATCAGCAGAGGTGGTGGGAGAGAGGAGATAAGAGGTGAGGAGATTGTCCAGGGCGAGAGGGAACACTGCACAGTTTGCCCAAACCCTCCTAAGCTGTCAGGAGGACAGCAACACCAAATCTCATGGCTCCCTTCCTACTTTGGTTCTTTCCCGAAGGTGGACAGTGGTGACCCCAATGAGCTCAAATCGCAGTGCTGCTGGGGTCACAGTCTTCGAGGGCAGGATATATGTGTCGGGTGGCCACGATGGTTTGCAGATCTTCAACAGCGTGAGTATGAACTCATCCTGGGCTCAGAGTACCTGCTCCTTCCATCTTTGAGAGTCAAAGGCAATTCTTTGGGAAAAACTTCAGCTTTGCCATTGCTGGGTAAAGTATCATCTAATGAGGTGTCGAGCCATCTGCTGTGTGCTCTGAAATTCTTTCAAGAATGGGAGCCAGTGTGCACAAAGGAGGGGCAGAGTGTAGCCATGCCACCCCCTCCCCGACCCCCACCCTGTTCTGTTTTCCATTGAATGCTGTTTGAGACCTGGTGAAATTCCCACCCAAAGGAAGCTCAATTATATACAGTGTGAATTTGCAAACAGTTGTATTCTGGATAATTTGTTTGCAATTGAATTTATTCTTTAAAAATACCTCGACAGCCATTTAGTGGTAGTTCCATAGTGTCAGTCAGTGCCGTGGTAGAACACACTCTGCACAGATTTCAGGAGACCCGGTATGATCCTGGCTCTGTCACTACATAGCAGTGCATCCTTGGGCAACTCCTTTGTTTCCCCAGATGTAAACAGGAAGTGTCAGATGAGGTGATCTATAAGTCCCTGTAAGCCCAAGAGCCAGTGTGCAGTTGAGGAAACTGGGCACAGAGCCAGAGCACACACTGGCAGAGCTCCTCGTCCCCAGACCTGTCACTGGAGTCTGACAGTGTGTGGGCCACTGTGCCCTGCGAGGTTCCCCTGTGGCCTGAGCTTTGGCCCTGACTTGCCTGTACCTCTCTCCCCACTGCAGGTGGAGCACTACAACCACCACACGGCCACCTGGCACCCGGCAGCTGGCATGCTCAACAAGCGCTGCCGGCATGGAGCCGCCTCCTTGGGAAGCAAGATGTTCGTCTGTGGGGGCTACGATGGCTCTGGCTTCCTCAGCATTGCTGAGATGTACAGCTCTGTGGCAGACCAGTGGTCCCTGATAGTCCCCATGCACACACGCCGGAGTCGGGTCTCCCTGGTGGCCAGCTGTGGGCGCCTCTATGCTGTGGGGGGCTATGATGGACAGTCGAACCTAAGCTCGGTGGAGATGTACGACCCAGAGACGGACCGCTGGACATTTATGGCCCCCATGGCGTGTCATGAGGGAGGGGTTGGCGTGGGCTGCATCCCTCTCCTCACCATCTAAGGCAGAAAAGGTGGGATGTGGTGGGGTAGGGATCTGGTACAAACATAGGCACTTCCTTCCGGGGACAGTCCCTCTCAGGAGAGGCAGTGGACCAGAAGAGAGGGTGAAATGTGAGCTTGCCGGAGGTACAGTTTTTCCAGGTGCTGAAGTCCTGCCTCACTGTGCTGCCCTTGTGACCTTCAGGCCTAGGTCATCAAGATGCACAGCATGGGACAGAAGCCTCTCTGGGTCTTGCAGCTGGTGACACGGGACTGCTTTGCTGGTCCACACGTACACAGGCTCCATCCAAGCCCAGCTCCCACCTGCCACAGCTCTGTGGGCCACCCACTTGCAGAAGGCCTTCCATCTGATGCTCCTCCTCGCCTGCTGTTCTCCAGCCATGGGGTGGCCAGTTTGCCATGGGGTGGCTGCAGTGGCCAAGCCTATTGGAAACTGGGGTGTGGCTGAGAGAGGGACGTACTCCAAGTGTTCTCACTGCCTGCAGTGATGCAGCCAGAGCAATGTGCTAGTTGCACACAAGCACCTCCTCCTTCCATCTTAGGGCACAGAGGATTTTTGACCTCATTGCTGGGTAAGCAGGGAGAAAAGAAGCTTTTCCTATGTCTAATTTTGGGATTTCCATGAGGTCTTTTTCATCTTGTTCAGGAATAACAGAAGAAAAAAAAAGATACTTGAAAGAAACTGAAGGAAATTTAAACAAAGAAACACTTGAAAGAAACTAGAAAGAAAAATACTTTTTTTTAAATGAACATTTTTTGCAAGAAGAAAATGTAAAAGACACTAAAGGCAAAAAAATGTGTTTAAATGGAAAAACCACCCAACATGAAAAGGGCGGTATCTGCTTCCACATTCGGATCCCAGGGTCCTGAGGCCTCGCACAGCACTTGGGGTTCCCTCTGAGCCCCAGTGTGTCTGGAATCAGTGCAGTCTTGACTGGTCCTGTAGCAAGGTGCTCATGGGGTTTGTCTTCACACCCACCATCAGAGGACTTTTTTAATCATAGGCTTAGTGAGTTGGCTGCATTACTGCCACTCTTCTAGGTGGGAGCTCCCAGCTCATCGCTGGAGGCTCCAGATGCCCCTGTGGTTACCTCCCACTGCCACCATGACGCTCATTCAGATTCTGCACTCCCACTTTTCATTCCTTCCTTAGTTGACCAGCAGGAAACAGCAGGTCTAGCCAGCTTCTCACTTGCCCATCTATCTATCATTCTTGGATAGTTCTCCTCATTATAATGCTTCTGGGGCACATTGACCATTTGTACCTCTAGAACCTAACCAGGGACTTGGTCCTTCCACCAGCCATGGGCTGGCTTGGTCCAGTAACCTCGTCTACCCAGCCAGTCCACTATCCTCCATCTATTCGCCAATTCCAGGGGTCTGGCCTCCCTTCAGCCCCTGGCAGACTGACCAGCAAGATGGACCTTTACATTCAAGCAAAGCTGGCGTTATGATATAAAGAACTAAAGGCTGAAAGAATCTCTTGCTGCTGCAAAGAACAGATTTTATATTTCTTCCTTTTTGATCTTAGCAAATGACCTCTTGAAGAGACTCCATGCTCCTTCTTCCTCCTCCCTGGATGGGACCTTGATGCAGCACAGCGGGCCCCAAACAGGAGGACGCTTTCTATTACCAGTGCACTGGGCAGTGGGGCTGTCCTTCAACTGCTGCTGCCAAAATCTGCTTTTATAAAATTCTTCCAGTAGAGACTAAAAGAAAATATAATTTCTTTAATGCAAGACTGGGTCTTAGGGTCCCAATCTCCACCTGATTGGTCTCCTGTCCCTTGCTGCCTGCCTGGGGTGGCCTGGAAGCCTGTTCAGAGAGGCACAATGTGGAGCCTGAAATCCCAGGACTGTGAGGTTTACCAGTCTGTGCAATCGCCATGTATCCAGAGGGAAGTACCTTTGTTACCTGCCACTTAGGAGCTGGGCCTCTGCTACACGCACTTGAAAGTGGTGTTTTTATTTTATAAGGCTCAGCAATCTGATACAGTTTAGCCTGGGCTCGTGGTGGAGCTCTGGCATTTCTCCTTCCCTCTTGGTTTGCCTATAGAGGTAGACTCAGAAGGTAGTTGGGGTCTGTGTCTCCTGTTAGAGAGGAGTCTATCAGTACCTGTCTCATTGTTATAAGCCCCTTTCTTCTGTGAATTTGAAGCAGCACTGACTAGCCTGGACTGTGAAAGTGTTAGGAATCAAGCAGTGGGCCTCTCCAGGTCCTTAGGATGCTGGCTGGCCCAGATTTTGCCGTTGGGGATGATAGATCATTTTCCGATGGTCTGCTGCTCTTGTGGTGGCCTTCCTAAGTCAGTGTTAGAAGTTACACTGCTGCACCTGAGGTCAGTGTTTCCAAGAGGAAGTCAGTGCTTGGTTCTGGGCTCTGAGCACAAGTGAGCAAACACCACCATTTTCACACTCTTCACAGTAGGTTCCTCAGTCTGATGGTGAATGTCTGTTTGCAAATGGTTGGTCTGGCCCTTGGGTGTGGGAGCCTTTCCAATAACACCATGCAAGAGAGAGACATCACCCAAGGATACTGTGAAAAGGGTGTAAGAAGGAGGCAGGACAGACACTGTGCTCAGTGGACCTTGGGATCTAGCCCAGCTCTGTGCAGAGGACTGGCATTCACTGTCCTTGGCCATTTCCCCTTCTTAGATAACACACACAGCCTTCTCTTCTGTATTTCATCTGAGATCAAAGCCAGGAGGGGAGCTGAAGACCAGCCTTTTTATTTGACCGCAGAGACGTGACAAGGTAGAAATTCTGTTCCTCCCCTCCAATTTGTTTCCCGGAAAATCTTACTTCCTTTTATTTATAGAATGCATGTCTTTTGTGTTAAGAGACCAAAGAGAAATAAAGAGTACACTCCTAATATCTTCTTGCCCTTTCCTGATTTATTTTTTAAATATTAAAAATAAATAATATTTTTATTGTAATTCAGTGAAAAAATATATTGGACAAAGTAAAAATATTCCTGTGAAAATAAGGGAAAAGCCAGACGTATAGCATAAGCAATCTTTGGAGAGACATGTGTGTATTTTATAAGAATGGGTTCTGGTGAAAAATATGCAAAAGACTTAATTAGCATGTTGCACATTCGCTCCTGTCCAGATCACCACACTTCTCTTGGATTTCCCCTTTTCTTCACTCACAGCCTAAAACTCCAGAGTCCCCCATGGAATGTGGCTGGTCTGTTGACTGCCTGGAACCAAAACCTCCAGCTCCTTTTTGATGAGGATAGACCACAGGTGCTTAACTTTGGTGCACATAAAAGTCACTGGAAATTTTTTAAACCACAGATTCATTCATAGAGCCCTCTCACAGACCAGTTCCCTAGGGCTGGGGTGCAGCTCACTCACTGTGGTGTGGGCAAGTTTCCATGGTGATTCATATGCTCATGACAGTGTGAGAAGTGGACTCCTGTGTTTCGTTTCCGCTTCCCCAGATGCAACCACATTCCAGATCTGCCTTTCTGAGATTACACCCTGTTACTGTGGTTGTGGCTGTGAGGAAATGCTTCATTCACAGTTTTCCAAAAGTCAGCTTATGGTCAGTCTCATCCACTGGGTGATGGTTATACTCTTAGGTCGCAACTTTATTTTTTAAGTTTTTGGGAGGGTATGTCACTCCCACACACCCCACCAGCACTTATTTCACACACAAACTGTCGATTCTCACCTGGTCCTCTTAGGAATCCGCACACAGTAGGTAGCATAGCTCATTTTAGCATAAGCCTCAGAAGGGCTGAGTAACTGACCTGATTCATCAGCTAAGTGGTAGTATTCTCGAGAATCGAGACCAGATCTCCACACTCACAGTCCAGTTCGCCTGAGAGAAGCAGTGTCTTTGAGCTTTGAAGCAGCTGATCCATCCAGCCTCCATGCCCAGTGTGTGGAGGTCTGCTGCCCAGTACTGTGATGGACCTTGGGGAAGCAGACTGGGCAGCAAGGGAAAGAGAAGAAACCATGTCTGGATTATAGAAGGAGGCACCTTTGTGCTGAAACGGAGGAAGCCAGATGATCTGCCAGCTGTGTGCCGTGGGAGAAAGGTCAAATGCCTCTAAAATAATAACAGCCCTTTCCATGTAAGCTAAAGCCACCTTGCTCAACCAAGAGCCCATGGGTGAAGAGTGGACCAGTGAGCTCTAGCTAGCCTCATCTGCTTGATTTTGCATTTGGTTTTTTTGTTACTGTTGTTAGGATTCCCCTCCCCTCAAAACTAGCAGCAGAGCCCATTCCTCTTCACCCCAAAGATAAGCACTACTGGTTTTTACTGCTGCTCGTAGTAACACATTAAACAACCAAAAAGTAGCAAGGGAATCACACAGTTCTCATAGAAAGTACCCCAGTCTTACTGTTTCCAATTTCATCTCTAGTGGCACACAGATGTTTCTCTTTAACGGAGCTCAGGTCCCTATTTATCTTTTTCTAGGTTTGCAATTCAGGATAAAAACACAAATGCCATGCCCTGGCATAGAAGGCTGCTGTGATCCGGGACTTCGCCCCACTCAGCCTCCTCAAATAGTCCTTCAGGGTGTCAGTTTAGATGTCACCCCTGCAAGAAAGCACCTCTAGTCGGCCTGGTGCCCCACCTCTGTGCCTGTCTCTGACTGTATCCCACTGGGGCAAACGAAGCCTGTTTGCTTGTCTTACCGCTAGATGGTGAGCTCCCCAAGAGCCTCCATTATTGTGTCCCCAGCACCAGGCACGTAGAAGAGGCACAACCACTATGTTTCTTGAGGAACTTGAGGACAGTCGGGTATATCGAGATTCATATTCTAGTTATGCTTCCTAGTCTTCCTCCATTTTGCATCACTGATTTTCTAATAGTTTCATTGAGGTATAAGTTATATACCTTAACATTCACCCATTTTAAGTGTGTGATTCAATGATTTTTAGTAAATGTACAGAATGTGCAACCATTACCACTATCCCGTTTTATAATATTTTCATCAGTCCAAAAAGTTCCCCACTCTCACCCCCATCCTTGAACAACCATTATTTTGCTTTCTGTCTCTATAGATTTGCCTATTCTGGATATTTAATATAAATGGAATCATACAATATGTGGTCTTTTGTGTCTGGCTTCTTTCTTTAGAAGAATGTTTTTGAGGTTCATCTGTGTTGTAGAATGTATCGGTAGCTTGTTTCTTTTATTGTTCCTGAATAGTGTTCCACTGTATGGATATACCACATTTTGTTTATCCACTTTTTTTCACTGATGGATATTTAGATTGTTTCCAGTTTGGGGCTATTATTGAATGATACTGCTATGATGTACAAGTCTTTGTGGACATATATTTTCATTCCTCTTGGGCAGATTCCTAGGAGTAGATTGCTGGGTTATATGGCAAGTTTATGTTTAACTTTTTAAGAAACTGACAAGCTTTTCCAAAGTAGCTGTACCATTTTAGAATCCCACCGGCAATGTATGAAGGTTCAGGTTTCTCCACATCCTTGTCAACTCTTGGAATTGCCTCTCTTTTTGATTATAGCCATTCTAGTGGATGTGAAGTGGCATCTCATTATGGTTGTAATTTGCATTTCTCTAACAACTAATGATTTTAAGCGTCTTTTCATGTGCTTGTTAGCTACTTGTATATCTTTAGTGAAATATCTATTCAAATCTTGCCCATTCTTAAATTGGGTAATGTGTCTTATTAACGAGTTGTAAGAAGTCTCCACATATTTTGGATACAAATCCTTTATCAGATATATGATTTGCAAATATTTTCTTCCTATTTGTGGCTTGTCTTTCTATTTTCTTAATGGTGTCTTTTGAATTGTAGAACTTTTAAATTTTGATGAAGTTTGGTTTAGCAATTATTTCCTTTATGGGTCATGCTTTGGTGTCATATCTTAAGAACTTTTTGCCCAACCCAAGGTCATGAAGAAATCCTTCTAGAAATTTTACAGTTACAGCTTTAATGTAGGTGTATGATTCATCTTGAGTTAATTTTGAAAAATTCATCTTTTTGTGCATGGATATCCATTTGTCTCACCACATTTGTTGTAAAGACTATCTCTTCCTCCATTGAATTGCTTTGGTACCATTGTTGAAATCAGTTGACCATAAATATAAGGGTTTATTTCTAGACTCTCAATTCTGTTCCATTGATCTTACATTCCTGTCCATGAGCAAATACCACACTGATTGTATGGATATTGATTTCTCCAGCTTTAAAGTAAGTTTTAAAATTGGATAATGTAAGTCCTTCCACTTTGTTCTTTTTCAAAATTTTTTTGACTATTTTGGTAATTGCATTCCCATATAACTTTTATGATCAGCTTGTCAATTTCTACAGAAAAGCCTTTTGGAGTTTTAATAAATATTGCGTTGAATTTATAGATCCATTTGGGGAGAATTGCCATTCTGACAATATAAAGTCTTCCAATCCATGAACATAGAATGTTTGTGATTTGTTTAGATCTTCTTTGATTTCTCTCAGCAATATTTTTGTCATTTTCAGTCAAGTCTTAACACTTCTTTTGTTAAAAAGTTCATAAGTATTTTTTATGCTATTGTGGATGGAATTGCTTGTTTAATTTTATTTTATATTTTTTTTGGTACTAGTATATAGAAATACCATTGATTTTTTGTATATTGATCTTGTATCCTGTGATCTTGCTAAATTCATTTATTAGTTTTTATCTTTTCAAAAAATTTTCATGTGTGTATATTTCTTGGATTTTTCTACATACATGACATGTCTTATGTGAATAAAGACAGTTTTACTTTTTCCTTCCCAATCTGGATGCTTTTAACTTTTTCTTGCCTTATTGCACTGGCTAGAACCTCCAGTATAATGTTGTGTAGAAGAGGCAAAAGTGGCCATCCTTGCCTTGTTCTCAGTCTTAGGGAGGAAGACATCCAGTCCTTCACCATTAAATATGTTAAGCTGTGAGTTTTTCATCAGTGACCTTTTTCAAGTTGAGGAAGTTTCATTCTGTTTTTAGTTTGTTGAGATTTTTTGTCACGAATGGGTATTAGATTTCATCAAATAGATGCTTTTCCCGCATCTATTGAGATGATCGTGTGGTTTTTATCCTCTAACCTGTTAATATGGTATATAACATTGATTTTCAAGATGATTGATCCAACCTTGCATTCCTGGGATGAATCCCACTCAGTCATGGTGTATAATCCTTTTTATGTTGCTGGGTGTGGTTTGCTAATAGTTTGTTAAGTATTTTTGAATCTACATTCACTGGAGGTATTTTCCGCCATTTTCTTTTCTTGTGATGTCTTTAGCCAGTAATACTTGCCTCATAAAATGCTCCTCTGTTTCAGAAAGAGTTTTTGAAAGATTGGTATTTTAAAAAAATATTTGATGGAGTTCACCAGCAAAGCAATCTGGGCCTTTTATTTGAGGGAAGATTTTAAATTTCTAATTTCTTCACTTGCCTAGGGACCTCCTGAGAGTGGGCACCTGCTTCTCCGAGGGGGTTAGACCCTTGTGGTTAGGGAAATTCTTGCCCCATCAGCAGGGATTGCGATTACCAGAGTGAGCCAGGTCTGTGCCCTTATAAGCCCCTCACTTTCTCTCTTTCCCTTGTCTAGGGATGCTCACCTCTCCTTGTCTGAAACATCTCTCTTCTCCACTCTTGTACTGCCCACCTCCACCTCTTTCTAACTTCCAAATATAAGAGGCCTCAGAGCTCAGTCCTGAGCTCTGATTTCACTCCATACACTCTCCCTGGCTGATACTGCCCTTTCCAATGTGTTAGGAAGACACCTGGAGTCCTGGACCAGCACAGATTCACATACTCACTTGGATATGTCCCAATATGACTATATCCAAAGTGGAACTTCAAACCTAGTGATCTCCTAATTTTCCCCACCCTCATAGTGCATCTCTTGTCTTCACAGTTGCT